TGAACCATTTTGACTTGAGTTTGATAGACTTGGGTCTGTTTTCAGTCTTTGGCAGGTAGCAAGCCAATTTTTCCAGCACCATTTATTAAAGAGGCTATCGTTCTTCCAGTGAGTTTGTATGGCCCCTTTATCAAAGATGAGGTGGCTGAGTGTGTTTTTGGTTGTGTCTGTTTCTTCCAGTCTGTTCCATTGATCCTCAGGTCTGTTTTTTAGCCAGTACCAGGTTAGTGACTTAGCAAGGCCCTGTCTTGAAATAAATGAATACAAATTTAGAAAGGGCTGGGAATGTAGCTCAGTGTGAAGGCCTTGCATTCAGTCCCAGTATTGCAGCAAACAAATAAAAAAAGAACAAGCAGAATTCTGTGGGGAGTTTTCCTGATTAAAATGATTCTTGGGCCACATGATTAGTATAAAAAGATAAAGCCTTCACCACTTCTGCCACCACTTCCTTGTGAAGTACATGGTACTTTAATTGCTTCAGTTAAACTTTAAAGTTTTAAGGGAAAGGGAAAGAAATTCTCCTTGACACTGTACTGTGTGTGTTTGGCCCTGAGTTTGGTGCTGTACATATATCATTGAGCCTCAAATTGTAGGGGTTTTTCATTTCTTTTTATAGATAAGAAAATAAAGCCCTGCTGAAACTAAATAACTTGTCCCAGCCTTCCCAGCTAGTAGGTAGTAGAGATTTTGGTTTTTGGTTTTGGTTTTTTTTGTTTGTTTGTTTTTTGTTTTGGTTTGGGTTTTTTTTTTGGGGGGGGGTCTTTTTGAGACATGGTCTCACTTTGCAGTGCAGGCTGGCCTTGAGCTTACTTTGTATCTCTGGCTGGCCTTGAACTCACAAGATCCTCCTGCCTCAGCCTCCCGAGTGCTGGGATTACAGGTGTGCGCCACCACAACCAGCTTCATAGTGGAGATTGAATGCAGGCCTACTCCAGTATCTACACTCTTTTTACTGCTTTTAGCTTCAGTATTGGGCCTCAGGTAAGAAATTATATACTTGAGCTAAAAGGAGTGAAACTCCAGGTTTGTCTTTTTTTTTTGAGGCAGGGTCTCACTATGTAGTACAGGCTGATCTTGAACTTGCTTATATAGCCCAGGTTGTCCTCGAAATCAAGGCGATTCTCCAGCTGGGATTACAGCTGTGTGCTACCATGCCCAGCCTCAGGTTTGTCTTGTGAACACTTTTTAAATATGCTTCAGGGGGTGTGGTGGTGCACCTCTGTAATCCCAGCACTCAGGGAGGCTGAGGCAGGAGGATCACTAAGAGTTCAGCGAGGCCAATCTGGGCTACAAAGTGAGTTCAAGACCAGCCAGAACTGCAGAGTGAGACCCTGTCTCAATAAATAAATGAATGAATGGAAGAATGAGTAAGTAAACAAGCTTCAGGATCATCCCATATTAGGTCTTGCTTGCAAATTTCTGCTTTTCGTTAGTGTGAAGCCAACTCAAGCTTCCACTCCTGCTCCTCGGTGCTTCTGCATATGCCCACCTTGATATATTGTTGCCCATCACACTGCTTTCTTCTGCTTGTCCTTCTTTCCCTGTGTGTCCTGATAGATTGAGGGGAGGGCTTGGCATCAGCTGGAGTTGAGGTTCAGTACTACAAATTTCAATTGCAGCCTTTCTTCCCAAGTCAAACAATACGTCTGTAACAAAGTCTTTCTGATAATAAGTTGGAACTTCTTCCTGTGGTAAAGCCACAGTAACTCCCCCTCTCTGAGGCAGGCATATGATGGCACAGTGTCATATGCCTGTTCTTCCTCCGTGTGTGCTGGCAAAGTCCCGGTGCTAGAGAGAAAGGCACAGCTGCCCTGTAAGTCAGGAGCCACATGTGATTGGCCAGGGCTGGTCTGCTGGGATATGGCTCTGGCAGGGAGCCAGAGGGACTTCCCCACCCCAGCTTGGCCTTGGACCCAAGCCAGAAATAGCAGCTGGGAGCCGAGAACTTGTTGAAAGGTGCTTAGACAGGGCACAGAAGTCCAACAAAGGACTTAGAGGAGAAAGGAAAATGTAGAGTGGTCTGGAAACAGGTGCAGAGCTTAGCCAAGGCCAGGTGTGCTGTGGGTGCCGCCTGCACCCTCCCAGTCTCACCTTTCCGTGTGGTGGCAGGTGTAGCCCAGTCCAGTTTATGAAGAATCTTATTTGTGGTTGGCACAATCAAAAGGCCAGCACCTGCCAGCCGTTGGCATCCTGATGCCTTTGATGTTTTTTGTCCTAGGGAGATGCTCTTTGCCTTAGGCAACTGGCTTACCTAGCTGTGGAAGGTAATGTACGGTGTTTGTAGACTGAAGAAGCTACCAACAGAGACTAAAGTCTTGCAGTGTGCTTTGCTTAGCTGTGTGAAATGTCTGTAGCTTCATAAGTATTATCCAATAATACGTGAATACTCCTCTAGATCTGACTTTGATTTTACTTTTTTTTTTTTGGAAATGGGGTTTCTCTCAGTATCTAGGCTGGCCTTGAGTTCACTGTGTAGCCCAGACTGACCTCAGACTCATGGTAATCCTTCTGCCCCAGCATCCTGGGGTGTGGGGATTATAGGCATTTGCCATCACAACCAAGTAGATGTGAGTCTTAAAAGAAGAGATTCAGCTAGATCAATTGTATGATTTCCTTCTAGTCCTCAGACTCAGCAGCTCATTGCCTGATATTGTTGTACCCAGCCCAGGCTATCAGGGCGCTGTCAAGGAGTTTCAGGGATGCTTTGCTGTTGCAGGCCTGTATGTAAACTTGAAACTAGTATCTACTCCTAGAGACACTAAAAACTCCTGAAGAGCACCTGTAACAGTAAGATGGCATAGCAGGCACTTAACGCTGTTAATTTGTTTCTTTCTGTGATGTGCTGTCTTTGTATTTTAGCCCGCATAAAGGTTACCAGGGCTGTTACCCCATTTCAGTTTCCTGACCTGAGAGATTCTACATCTTGGCTGCAGACATCAACCTCCTGGGTCTTTCTTGGGTTGTGGTTTCTTGGGTTGTGGTTCGTGTTTAGGGTAAAATGAATAGGATGTTCATTCCTTTGGCCATGTGTGTTTCCCTGGAGGGTTCTACAGTCCTGTGAATGGAACTGATTGAGTCTGGAGGCTAACCTCATGCACCTTTTCTTTGTTATCTTCAGGACCTGGTCCTAGGGCTCCCCCAGTATACGGCTTAGAAGTGTCTGACATCTCGAAGTGGGAAGAGTCTGTTCTTGATCCTGCTCTTGACATCGTGCACAGTTTCATCCAGGTGATTATTAGTCATGGTACAGTTCATTGTCTAGTTTTTAGAGCACTGTCCCTCACTGATACTTTTGTTATTGTTGGGGAACCAGGGTTCTGTGCCATGGAAAGGTTGGCTACTTTTTTTGTTTTTTTTTTTTTTAATCCCTGGCAGCTATATTTCTGGTCTTAGGTTTTTACTAAAATCTGTTCACATCCTACCTGCTTCCTGGGATGTAAAACAAGGATCTTGAGGAAAACCCACCTCCCCTTAATACCAAAGAATGATACAGTTTCTTTGAATAGAATGCTCTTGTGCCCCGCCTTGTTCTTTTAGGGCCACAAGCCTGCAGCAACTCCAGTCACGCTGCCCTACAATGAAACTGAGAACAAGCGAAGTCACCATATGTGTGATGTCTGTGAGCGCATCATCATTGGGGACCGGGAATGGGCAGGTAGGGTGTGGGGAGAAACCTGTAGGGGTGGGGGTCACACTGACTGATTGAAACTTGAGGTCTTTGGTAGGATGCACATTGGGGTCTGCTTATTTGTAAAGGGACAGCCAAGTTCCTGAGCCTTTGCTCGTATTCCTTGGAGGCTTTCCCAAGGATATAGGAGTTATCTCTGCATTCTAAAAGGTAAAAGAAGATCCTATGCCCTCCAGCTCCAGCTGGAATGGATATTTTATACCAAGAGATCTGCAGCTCACTTTCTAGAGTTCATTTGATTTCAAATTCCTGCCTGAGAGGAGTTTTTTGGCTTTCATGTTTAGAATTTAAACATGAGATAGGATTGTAAAGGAATCAAGGCAGCTCATCCAAGAGAGGGAAGTAGAAGGTGGGCTAGCGGGGAGCAGGAAGCAGAGTTCTTCCTCCAAAGCACTTCCTTCAAAAGCAGGGTCCAGGCAGTATTTCTCAAGGTTATTTGTTGAAATGGTGGCGGGGGCTGGAGGTTTACCCAGTGGCTAGAATCCTTCTGTTTCAGAGTCCTCCTTTGCTTGGATTCTCAGAGAAGTACATTTTCTTCCCATATCACCCAATAGAATGATTAGGTCTATTAACTGGTAACTGGCAGAATGAACTCCATTGTCAGAGTCTGGGGACGGCTGTGATTGCCCAACCAGCAGAAGAAGCCTCGATTGTCGTTGGTTCATAACGATGAAAGGGGAGGAGAAAGAGTGTCTGATTGTTTTGTAAAGGAAACTTAGTGGTTCAATTTGTCGAATGTCTTCAGAGAGAGCCTTAGAGAAACGACATTTGTGAGCTTTGTGAGCCTTTGTGAGCTTAGCTGTGTGAGCCCTTCTCTAGTACCATCTGTCAAGTCTGCACCCCCGTCTCCTGCTGCTGTGGAGAGCCAGGCCAGGGTCCAGCTTCTGCCTTAGGCTCTAGTTGGAAGACAAAGCTGACTTTTCTCACCAGGACACTGTTCTTTGACTTCTAACCTCCTCCTTACTTACACTTGCTTCTAAACCGTAAGAATGATGTTTTTCATTTGTATAAAAGAATTTAATCTAGTTGTTCCTCTCCTTTGGTGTTCCCAGATGAGATTTCCTTGAAAAAGAGCAGGGTAGTGAAAAAGAGCCTATGTGAGTGAGTCAGAAGATGAGAACTGCCTTGGGACAAGAGGTCAGCAATTGATAGAGAGCAGCAGTAGCCGCTCAGCTCCCCTGCTAGACCCTCAGAAGAGGTGGCCGAGGTCATGCCCCTTGCTGTCTGTGTGGAGCCTTATGTGAGGCAGAATGGGAGCCTTGTGGGTTAGTCCTTCAGATGCTTATCGGACGTAGCCCAGGCATGTGGGACCAAGAGAAGCAGGGCAAGAAGCAGAGAGGCAGTTCTGGCCCTCAGATTTATAGGGCAAGGCACCAATGAGGGTATAAATTTCTAACATCTTACCCTCGAGTAGAAATGGTTCTGTAATAGGAAGTCTGATATCATAGAGGCTGGATTCTGGAAAGTGGGGTCTCTTTTTGGAGTTATAGTTCTAAGCAGAAGAGTTTAACTGCTGTGTGACCTTGGACAAAGTGTAAGACCTCTCTGAACTTGTTTCCCTCTGTGTACAATAATCAGAATGGACCGACCTGCAAGATTTGGTTCACTTGATGCACTGCATTTCTCTCTTGCTTAGTAAGCAAGCTGGCCATAATTTATTCTGTCCTTAAAAATGCTAAGCAGCTGTAGCAAGACATATGTTGATTCTGTTACTTATTATTAAGAAAAATAAATTGTGTAAATTTAATTGCTTTTAGGATTAATTTTTTAAAATCCTAATGAACTTTTTCTTTTTGTCTTCTCAGCACATATAAAATCCAAATCCCACTTGCACCAACTGAAGAAAAGAAGACTGGACTCAGATGCTGTCAGTACCACAAAAAGCCAGACTACTGCCTCAGACTGTGATGCCGAACCTAAAGAGCAGGGGTCCCCAGGACAGAATGACCCAGAGCTGAAGTGCAGCACTTAGCAGATCTCTCCAGGGACCTCTGCAGAGGCACTGGGGATCAGCAGGGCGGAGTGGGGCGGTCTGTCTGTCTGTGTCCCTCTGCGGGGTTGAGGAGTGCTGTGCAGGAAGCCCCGCCGTTTTTTATTCTTCTTTTTGTAATTCGGTAGTGAAGTCTTAAAAGTCCCATGTTTTCTGTCATGGAAACAGCAGGTTTTTCAGTTCCTGTGGCTGTTGGGTCAGGTATGGTATAGTTAGGAGTTCTTTTTTCCCTTTGAACTTAAAGTTTCTATTTTGGAAGGAGACAAGATTGCACAGTTTTATACTTGAAGATCTTTCTAGTGGTAAATACTATGGCTTGCTATACGTCATAAAAGAACTTTTTTTGTCCCTGACTAAAAATATCTAATTTCCAGATGTTTTTGCAGACGACTGAAGCATTATGAGCCACAAATCAGGAGTTCTAGATTTGAGGGAATGGCAGGAAAGGACCAGCCTCAGTGAGATGATTAAATAAACCAAAGCAGCTCTTGGAATTCCACAGGAATTCAGAGGAAATCACATCAAGGAAGTTGTGACCTGGGACTTGAAGCATAAAGACTGAAATCTGTTGATCTCCTGTGTGATAATTGCTGTCACTGCTGACTTTGTATTAAGGTAGAAATATATATTTTTTTGAAAATTAAAATAAAGAAAAACTTTGTAAGATCCTCCTTGATCCTTAAAAGAGATATTTATGTCTATGTCTAGTTTATACACAATATACTGTTGATAATTTTGTCTCACTTGGGCATTCTCCATAGACCATGCTCTGCCGGCTTATGTAGCTGATGTACATTGTGCACTTTATATTCTGGGAAGACATCCAGAGAGGGTCTTCCATTGGAGATTTGTTATTTCCAGTTGAAGCCGCCTTTCTGGAGTGACTTGAGCTACCTGCAATATTAAATAAATTTTGTTTGTAATTAAAATTAAGCATCGTTAGATGTACAGTTCAACAGCATTATGTATTCACAGTATTGTGCAATCACTATCACTATTTCCAAAACGTTTTCATCATACTAACTGTACCCATTGAGTAATAGCTCCCCACCCAGATATATTTGATCAGACTCTGTTATATGAGAGTCCCTCAACTAGGCTAGTGGGTATACAGAGATGAGTTGTGATTCTTGCTTTCAGGCAGCTTGTAAATCTCCTTTGTATACATAAACAACCAGGGTAGGTAAGAGACTATCAGACACCGGAAAAGCAGAATTTTGGTTGAGCGAGGGGAGGGAATCATTTCTGCTAGACCTTAAAAAAGCAATATTTGCTAAGTATATTGTTACTTCGGCTCAGGAGACCACATGGAGTGCCTTTTGTTGTGGTTGTGTTGTGTTGTGTTGTTTTGTGACAGGGTCTTGCTAAGTTGCTCAGGCTGGCCTTGAACTTGAGATCCTGCTGCCTGTCAGAGTGCTAGGATCACGGGTGTGCACTACCACTCTCAACCTGTGAACCTTTTAGCAGTGCTGAATTTTAGAGCCTGGTCGCCTTTCACTGATTTGACTCTCAAGAATGTTTATTCTGTAGTCAAAGAAGAAACCACCCTTGCATCTTCTCCATTGTAGTGTTTCTGTGATCTGATTTCCCCAGTCAGTTTGTTAACTGCTAGCAGGGTGGAAATCTTGTCACTGGGCGTGGAGATGAGTGCTGACTGTGAGGCACTGGTGCCCGGCGTTCAGATGCGTTACCTCCTCGAAGAGCCTAGGGAAAGGCTGCTCCCGTTGCCATGAGCCCGTGGGAGACCGGCCGGACAGAAGTGAAGCTGATAAACTGTTGAGCGCTGTTTTAAACTGGCTGTTTTAGTCAGGAAGCTTAGTCTCTGAAATGCTCCTAACTCAAGTTGTTAAGTATGTTTTAAAGCTTAAAAAAGTCTCAGTGGACAAACAGGAAAGACAAGTTTTCATAATCCTACCTCAAAAAGCCCTTAATCCTTCCATCTAAAATATCTGGAGCAGTAACTTCTCTCTGGTTCATCACTATGTCTGCAGCATTTTTGACGCACTGGCTAAGTTTTCAGTACTTCGGTTGAGCCCAGTGTCCTTACTTTCAGGCACTGGCAGTTCAGTGAGTGGCATTCCCTCTCCAGCTGCCCAGAGCTTGGGAAGCCAGAACACCAGAAATGTGCTGCACACCAGTGTCACCCAGCACAGGCTTCCTTCTGCGTCCAGCCCTCAGAATGGCTCTGCTGAGTGTAGGGAAGGAAAGTAGGCTTCTTGCCTTGTGTAGTCATCAGTGTGGAGATGAAAGAATCCTTAGGCCATTCCTGTACAGATGGAGAAACTGAGGCCCAGAACATGGATGTGTCATAGTCACAGGGCAAGCCAGGCAAAACCAGGACAGACTTCGCGCCACCTCTTCGCTTGACTACAGACTCTCCCTGAATCTCATCTGATGGTTGGGAAGGATCATCAAGAGCAGCTCTTGGCTCTTTGTCAGTCTGCAGTGAGGACAGATGTGGGTCTGCTCAGTCTGGCCTCAGCCAGGCCCCAAGGAGCAGAGCACCTCGGCCCAGGCCCCCAGGCTCTAGTCCATCCCCAGAGTGCTGCCTAAATGGCTTTGGTAATTAATTCCAGCACTCAGCAAGCTATTAATTTTGTCTTCCTCTGCCAGTAGAAATCTTAATTAGGTTTTTGGTATTTCCTACAGTTCAAGCAGTGTTAAGAAATTAAGAAGGACCTTTGATTCTGAAGAAAGAGTTGGATTTTTAGTCTTTTAAGATATTTTACTTGTTTGTATAGGTCCAAGCATGGGTTCATCTGTAGTGTAGGTATGTGGTTTGATCTTTTCTAACTCTCAGTAATTATTTATATTCTCAGCCTTAGTTCCACATTCAACAACAAAGATTTTTCTACTTTAAAACAACTCAGTACACACACACACACACACACACACACACACACAGAGGCTATCAGAGGTTGGGGTATAGCTCAGTGGTGGAGCACCGGCTTAGCATTCACAAGATCCTGGGTTCAGTCCTCAGCACAGGGAAAACAAAACCACACAGTACATTCAAAGCCAGCAACAATAGTAACACACACATACACGCACTCATGAAAGCAAGCTTTTATGAATGCAGTGACTATATTCCCAGCACCAAGAAACAGTGAAGCAGAAAATGACATAAGCCTCTACACAAGTGATCTGCTTCAATCATTAAACAGTCTTGGAGTCAGCTACCTCAGCACTCTAGAAGGCTGAGGCAGGAGGATTGCAAGTTGAGCCTAGCCTGGGTAACTTAGTGACTTAGAACCTATTTGAAAACAAACAAACAAAAAAACGAAAAAGGCTGGAGAAGTAGGTCAGTGTGAAAGCCCTGCGTTTAAATCCCAGTATCCCAAAAAAAAAAAAAAAAAGTACAGTCATCTTAGCGTGGATCTCATTATTTGATTAAAACCTACTTGAGAAGTTAGGGCTGTTCTCTAAAATACTGGCTAGCTGGTCATCTGTAAAGGTATTCTGAATATGTACAAAGGAGGGTGCATGGTTGTGTTAGGGTAAAAAACTAAGCTGTAACAAAGAGGCTCAACAGTACAGTGGCTTAAAAAAAAACAACAAACAAACCAGTCCATTCTTTCTCTTCTCTTGCAGTTCTGAGGAGAGTCAACCTTTCTGAGAGGGAGTTAGGTCAGTGGGGCAGCTCTGCTCCCGATGGTCATCCAGGGACATAGGTCCCTGGTATCATGATGCTTCCCTGCCCTCCAGAGCATTGTCCTCTGTTCTGTGCTTGAGATTGGCTGGGTCACCGGTCCCAGCGGGTGGCAAGAGAAAGGGCACAGGAGGAGGCCCAAGGCCCAGGCCCAGAGGTGGCACACCAGTATCTGCCACACACCTACTGCCTGGGAGCTGGGAAACAGGAGCCAGCCTATGCCAAGAAAGAAGGGGAGAACAGATTTTGGTGGACAACTTGCTGTCTTCATTAAACTGATACCGTGTAAAGAACACAATTCTAGCCTCTTTTAACTAATGAGCTGTTAGTTTGCCAGGAGCGAATTTCTTTATTTTCCTATCTGCAAAATTAGTGGATCACATGACCTGACCTGAAATATTTCACAAAGTGAAGCTTGACAAAATCTTTACTGGTGGGCTGGTAAGACAAGAATAGTCGTGGCTTGGTTCTTGAACTTGATTTTTTCCATGATTCTGGGCATAAACCCAGCTGGACAAGAACCAAATTAAATTCACTGGTTAGGCTCAACATTGACCTTATGCAGAAATTTGATTGGGTGCTTATCCAATTCTGTTTGTGATCAGAATCATGGGGAGCATTGAGTTTGTGAACCCAGGTACCACTGCTTTTTAAAAAGGCATTCCAGCCGGTCATGGTGGCTCATGCCTTAATCCCAGCACTCGGGAGGCTGAGGCAGGAGGATTGTTTTTTTTTTTTAAGCCACTGTACTGTTGAGCCTCTTTGTTACAGCTTAGCTTTTTACCCTAATACAACCATGCAAGTTCAAGACCACAAAGTGGTCTAATACAACCATGCAAGTTCAAGACTACAAAGTGAGCTGAAGGCCAGCCTGAACTGCATAGCGAGACCCTGTCTCAAAAAGACAATCAATCAGTAAGTAAATTTTAAAAAGGCCTTCCAGGGAATGTAAGCATGCAAGCCACAGGGTCAGAGGCTGATCCACTGAAGATGGTAGGGAGGACAGGTAGAAAGGGTTTTGGTGGCCTTGAGGAAGAACTCAGCCAGTGACTGACTACTTCCAGATGGCTTTTTACAGGGGGAAATGCATACCATTTGTCATTGCGGCCAAACACCCTCCTGTCTAACATACTATCTGTGCAATCTTTGGGAAATGGTTTAAGCAGCCCCAGTTTTCTCATGTGTGAAACTCCAGGGGATGTCATAAGAACTGAGTAAGGTCCTTTTGTGAGTATGTTGGTTCGGCACTGTGGTACCCAGTGAACAGTAGTACGGATTGGACACATTTGCTTCACTGGAGAAAATTCATTAATACTGTTGAAGTGTTGGTTCGTGGTGTGGTGTCAGTTCTTGAAAGTAATGTATCAAAGCAAGCTCAGACTTAAGGTCAGTTAGTTCACCGATGGCCTAAAGTAGTGCCTCGTCCTTTGCTTGTCACCCACCTAGGTTTCTGCTCTTAGGTTTGGCTCATTGGTTGGTTAGAATGTGTATACTTTCTGCCATTAGTTTCCTTGCTCAAATTGTTTCCGTCACCTGAAATGCGCTTTCTTCACCTGATGAACTCCTGCACATCCTTCAAAGCCCTAACCTGATGTTTTGGCTTAGAGAAAGCTTCCCAGGCTTCTCCAGGGAGGCTTGGTTTTTCCTTCCTATGTGAGCCCTAGCAATTCGTACAGCACAAAACCTGTAATATTGATGAGTACTTACGTAGCACTTTGTTTCAGGAGCTGTTTTAAGTATTTTCATGTGTACTAACTCATTAACTCCAACAGCCTACGAGGTAATGTCACTGTATGATGAACTTGGTTTTACAGTTGAGAAAACTGAGTGAAGCAGTTAGGTAAGGGCAGGCAAGGATTTTAGACGAGTTAGGTCGCTCCAGAGTCTCTTCCACCTTCTCGTTTCCCACAACACGTATCACTATGTCTCTTGCTCCCTTGCATAGTAAATTCTACCAGGATGTGAACACACAGCGCGCACTGGCCCACTGAGGCCAGACCCTGCAGGGCACGCCTCCCTGAATGTGGCCACCCACTGAGT